TAACAGATGCTCAAACATAGAGAGCAGGAAAATCAACCTGCAGATAGGTTACTTACTGTATAGTTTTCTCTGCATTTTAAGCTAGGATAGGAGAAAGTTCAAATTTGCAAATTACTCACTTCACCTTTTAGCATCAACTTCCTTTTTTCCTCTCATTTATTACAACATTCCTGAACTTCATTTTGATTTTGGAATTTCAAATCAATCTGTAGTTCACTCCCCAGTAAATGATTCCCATCTGTAGCACAATGATTCACTGTCTGGGTTGCAATCAGCTCAGGAAACCACAGGCTTAGCGTTTGCGTATGTGGAATATCACTGGCACTGGTTGACGAACTATACAAGGCCAACTATCTTTAACAGTACGGATGTGTTTATGTTCACTGATGTCAGATTTTTAGGGGAAGACATTATCATCTAAAAGCTGACGCTGCTCATACACTGCTCATTCTCTAAACTTGCCCGGAAAAGCTTTGAGTGTCATTTTGATATTTCACAACTCAAAAAAGCTGGGTGGGTTGGATATGTGTTCAAGCATTTATAAAACTGAACGGTCAATGCAGTCACTGCACATTACCAAACATTGTCATCAGACACCAAGTGAGTTGCTGAGGATGAATCATCTTCAGAAATAATCTGAATTGAATTTGAATCACATCACAGCAAAAACAATGACCAGAGGGCTATTTCAAAGTAGATAAACAAGAACAGAAATCCCCTTAAAATACAAATGTTAATAGCTAACATTTTGATATTTGAGCTGTATCGAATTACAAAACATCTTGTTTTTTAAAAGAACCGCTGAGTCATATCCATAAGTCTTGCTGGGGGTGCTCCCCGAACATAAATTCAGCTGTATTGTGAACAATGCTGTACTCCTTGCAGATACTGTCGGTTACAGCCGAGTGCAAACTATACAGCAGGTCTGTGAAAAGAGAGAATCATTGGTTGAGCGTGACCTCTGACCTGAGCGTCTGGGGCTGGTGGCGGTGTCCATGCTGAGAGCTGAAGGGCTGTATTGTTGTGTTCAATCCTCCACCCTGTGTAACTATAAGTGAGAGTGTTCCCCTGCTGGGAGACTCGGTCTCTGCCTGTTTGCACAAGGACATTTTCGTTGTTCGTCCAACAATACAAGAAAGTTGCGTTTTGAATTATTTTTTGGAAGTGCGTCTTACATAACACTACTATCAAACAAAACCACCTCGTATACTACGTGATTTATTGCATCACTGTTCCAGGACAATAGGATCTTAATGCAGTTGTTTACTCTAAAACGTTTATAAAACGCAATGCACACCTGCCAAAAAATTGCATGCCGACCGTTCAAGGGTGACAATCAGTTCCCCAGGGCTGCATTGTTTTCTCGTGGCTTATATAATACTCAGTGTTCCTGAATCTGAGCTCTTTTTGAAGTCAGCATGGCACTAGAGGAAACATCTCTCAGCAGTGTAGCGCTCTAACAGAAGGGAAACAGGGTGGAGAGAGTTCACAGCAGGAACTGACCGAAGCTAGTTTAGGCTCCCGGGGACCTTGTGACAGGGCAGTTGTTTACTTTTATCTCCTGTTTTTTGTTCTCTTGAGGGAATGCTACACCAAAGTGAAAACCCGTGATCCATAAATACACAGGTGTTGTCTCGCTAATGTGTTTGGGCTGCGGTATTTCCGCCACATTTCACCCCTTACCAACTGGAACCTTCTCTGTGAATACACAGAAATTAGGGGAGATTGCGTGACTGAGATACTGTATGAGCGCTGATTTAGAGTCCTCATACAATATTCCTCACAAGCAGTACTTTTCACATCTCACTGACTGCACATCAAGAGGTTTTCCATGGACTCTTGGCTAACGAGTCTTTTTTAAATCAGCATTAATAGTGTAGACTAAAACTATTAATAATCGTTGCTGTTAACTGAAAAAAACCCCTAAAAAATAGTTGAAAAGCTTATGTAAATGAAAACGAAATACTAATGTGCAAAAAAAAAAAAAAAAAATTTTCTTTCACATTTTTAGGCTAAACATTGCCATTAATGTAGAGTGAGTTTGATTGGGGTTGAACATAGCTTTGTTTGTCTGTTAAGTGTGGTGGTAGTTACACAGCAGAAAGAATAATTGCACATGTCCGATGGACACCATGTGTTTCTGAGTTCCCAGTCTTGTTTTCTGCATTCTGAGGCCAAGAGCCAGGAAACCGTGCTTACAAACACACCTACACACAAACATATACACAGATAGGCAGCTGGAAAGACCTTTTTCTGACCATTTGTGGGCTTTCGTTACGCCCTGCGTTTAGGGAATCTGGGTTTGTCTCGAGCACAAGAAGTTAAAGTCAGCCGTAAGCAGGTATTTTTAGCTATTTGCAGATTGCTGCATATGCTGAAGTCCCATTGTTTCCTGTGCCCGTATCAACTGAGGGCCCATTCATGAGCGAAACGGCAACAGTATGCTTGGGAAGGAAGACTGCAACTGACAGTGTAGTCTAATGCAGTTAACAACTATTATGGTCCACATTTTCTGTTGCTGTTGTGCCGTTTCAGCTGGATTTTATTAAAACGAGTAAATTTCCTTCATCTGCAGACATGTCGTTTGTTTTTCCATGCTCGTAACTACTCCCACAACATGCTGTATCGAACATCTTAAATTAGTTGCTACCACAAAAGTTACATAAAGATGTAAAATTTGTTTCTTGCTGAAAAGACCAGCATGGATGGTTGCACAGCATGTTGTGTTTTGGATGCTGGTCCTCCAGTGGGCTCCTGATCTAGCTAAACCAGCAACACTTTCTTGATCAACCACCTCCACCATGCTGGTTAACCTGCATCATCAGCTACTGGTCAGCAACATGGCTACAGTGGTCCGAAAGCAAGACCAGCACTAACCACCTTGAAAATTCGTAGGTAAATGTGTCACGATAGTCGTAATGTTGACTCAGAAGTACATCCAGGAACATTCTCGTGGGTGGATTGGGCTGAGAAAGGAGGGGTGGTTTATTGTCTGTCCTCTCCCCCCAACACTGCCACTCTAACAGGCCACATCTGCCCCAGTCTGTTTTCATTAAGCATTAACCCAGCAGTAAAACAGTTGAGCAGATTGCAGCAGCTTGATTTACGTTAGAGATCTCACCATGAAGCCCCTCTTTTATTCGCTCGCTTTTCATCTTTCCACATTGCCTGCCTCTTTAGACTTTCCAGAAAAACAATGGATTTTCTTGACCAAAAAACAATACTGGACTAGTTGTTTTGTCAAAGTGTGTCTGACTAGTTTGGCGATGAGTAAAGAGACTATTCTGCGTCTCATTTAAGTCACACTAACATAGTAAGGTAATGTACTGTATGTCATCAAGACCTATTTATACAAACATCTGATAAAACAACATAAAAAGAGCAAATTAACTCATTTTGAATTCTTTTAAAATATGTAGGTATGGGCTACGCTTAAAAAGTTTGGGGGCAAGTAAAGAATTTTGTTAAAGAAGTTAATACTTTTATCGAGCAAGGACACATTAAATTGATAATATAATAAGTGACAGTTTATAATGTTACAAAAGATTGCTATTTAAAAAAAATGCTGTTCTTTTAAACTTCCTGTTCATCAAAGAAACACTGTATCACAGTTTTGACAAAATATTAAGCACCAGAACTGTTTTCACCATTGAAAAATAATAAGAAATGTTTCTTGAGCACCAAGATTGGCATATTAGAATGATTTCTGAAGGATCATGTGTAAATGGTAAATGGTAAATGGACTGCATTTATATAGCGCTTTCACAGACCCAATGGCCACCAAAGCGCTTTACATTTGCCTCACATTCACCCATTCACACACTCATTCATACACCGACGGCGGCAATGGCTGTAATGGTGTAATGGCTGCTCAAAATTCAGCTTTGCTTCACAGGAATAAATTCCATTTTAAAAGATATATTTAAATATAAAACCATTATTTTAATTTATATTAATATTTCACAATATTACTCACAATTATTTTACTGTATTTTTGATAAATTAAATGCAGCCTTTGTGAGCATAAGATACTTCTTTCAAGCACAAATTTATATGAAAAGAAATATAAGTTGTAATATATTCTAATATATTTTGGCTATATAGGCTTCAGCATCACAGTGATCCTATAAGAGGACAAGCGGTTTAAATAATAGATTAATGGATTTTTTGTCATTATTTTGCTGTATTTTTGTCATTATGATAACTTGACTACTACTTAGCTGTTTTTATGTGTCACTTAAAATGAGCCAACTACTCTGTGAAAGTGCATACTGTGTCATAAATATGTGAGGATGCATCATTATGTTGTTGTTTTAATTTTGGTGGCTTATGAAATTAATATTTGACATATGTGTTACTAAGAGTTCTGGAGAAAAAATAGATTTACCTCATAGATATCATACCTCAGTGGAAGATTTTCAGTGAATGACAATTTGAAGATGAGGGCAAGTCACAACAGATGTTTTTTTTTTTAGATCGTTTTACATTGCATACACCACTTATATCAGTGAGGGGCTGGCTATCTTTCTTACATTTACACTATATAAAATGCTGAAATACCTGATAAAGTTACCTTTTACTCACCAAAGCCATTTTTACTCTCATTTGGCACTTATTGAGTGTACATGTAGAACTTGAATGAACTTTGGTGTCTGCCAAATGTGAACATAAATATGAACTCACATACTTTAGAAATCTTAACCGTTAGAAAAACGACTGCTATATGTTGCTATAACATTCAACAGGGAACATCTTAGTGACTGTTGCAAGTTGTCCAGATGGTTGGTTTTTTATTTTAAGACTACATTGTTAAAGCCTGCTAAGCTTTTGCCATTTGAGTTTATGTAATTTTTATAAAAAAAAAAAAAATCATATTCAGTGTTTTTAAATACATTTTTTAATTTCTGCTTGTCAATTGTTTGTAATGCAATATTTTAATGGTGGTATTTCTTTATAAAATAACAGATTTTTTCTCTCACTCTGTCTCTCCCAACTCTCAGTGATGGTGATTGTGTTCCTACGCTATGCCCATGTGATAGAGAAGCACCAGAACTGTGTGTTAAATACAGCAAGTCTCTCCACTGGATGGATCTGTGCTGCAGGACTCATCATGGTCGGCAACTTCCAGGTACAGATTACATAAACCGTACTATCTTACTCGTCTGTAACAGACTGCTCCACAGCAGCCCAGTTTTCTTCAAGGTCTGTTTAAACATGTGACAGCAGAAGAGGAAATATTTGAAGGTCATAAGAAACATAAATTCAGTCCAGTGTGTGTGTCCAAACCTTGGTGCTTGCTTATGTTTGTGTTTGCGAGTGTATCTTAGCTCGCATTTGAGTGTATGTGTATATATTAGACTGTTTGGATAAGTGGTTTTTTTGCGAATACCTGTTTCATCCATGAATGAGTGATACTTTACTCCCGTTCTACCTCGGATCCACCTCCACAGTGTTTAGATGAAAGGCAGACTCCATAAACCCTCTCATGTGGAGCCACATGCTCCTTCGAGCCCTGTGAAACAAACATCCTTTACCTTTATTCATGAATCGGTGTGAGCCCTTGGCGACAGGGTCTTTGCAGGTTGATATGTTTGGACGTTTGGCTGAGTGCCCAGACTGCTAGCGATGTGGGGAGGTCGGCCAATGGGGGCATCACAGGTTTTTATGGGTTGGTTGCCATAGAGAAAGAGGGAGAGGCAAACCTTTCTCCTGATAATATAAGCACCCAAATCTTTACTATGTACTCCATCAGAAGGTGTGTGTGTGTGTGTGTGTGTGCGCAGGAGACAGCACAGGTTCAGACTTGTTTGTCCATCCCTCACTGAAGCAGTCTGTAGTAATGTCTTATAAACTTTCATAGGCAGCAGGTGTTATAAAAGAGGCATGAACCTACGTCATTGCAGCATTATGAACTTAACTCATCTTATCAGCAATTTTGTTATTCACTTAGTTATTTTGGTTCTGCTCCCCTTGCATATTTGAAATGTTTTGAAAATCAAGCAAAGCTACTCCCTTGCATTTCTTCAAGCTTAGTCAGCTAGCTGGCCATGGAAACATTTTTTGTTTGTTACATCCTGAGGACTTACTTCGGGTTAGTTTGATTACCCAAAAATGAAAATTGTGTAATCCTTTACTCACCCTCATGTCGATCTTACCCCATAAGACTTTTTTTTCCCAGTGTAAGTGAATGACACCAGAAGCCTCTCACATTCATGTTACAAATGGCTGCACCCACTTGTACTTTAAAAAGTAAGGTGGATATGATTTAATTGGGACATTCATTCAGATATAAACATTGATTAACGCACACACATACAGTAGAGCACATCAAATACGATAAATGGAAGCTCAAACTTGCTTGATGCGCAAAAAACTCATTGGTTCTTGTGGAAGCTCAAACATGCCTAACAGCTCGATTTATATGGATTACTTTTACATCCTTTTATGAACTTTTTGATGCATCAAAGATTTGGTTGTGTGGACAATATATAGAGTAGAGGGACATATCTCAGAATTGATTAAAAATATCTTCATTTGTGTTTCAAAGATGAAAGAAAGTATTATGGGTTTGTGTAACTGATGACTTAAATGAATAGTTTCGTGTTGCATTTTTGTTAATCTTGACTTCTCACAACTTGTTTGCTTTTTTCTGGGCAAGATGGAGTGAATTACATCGCTAAAAGACTCACGAACGTGCACATTGTGCAGCCGTGGTCAAGAATTTCACTAAATAATACATTACATTTCGGTTAGTTTTTTTTACCAAACCCTATCCAAACCCCCAGAACACTTGGAATATATGACACGTGTCACATGGGATCATTCATGCGGCATTAAAACAACACCAGGGTGAGTAAATGATGACTTAATTTTTTTATTTTAGGGTGAATGATCCCTTTAATTTTTATTTTTGGGTCTATCAGAAAGATCATGATATCTGAGAAGCATCTCCAGCCTAAACCCGCCTTCATGGAAATTCATGCTGGTCCAACCTAGTCTTTTCAGCAGGGAAGATAGCTTTAATGCCTCGCTTTAAGCCATTATAATGATACGAGGACCACCCGTGCTGTGTGGAGCTGCCTTGTGTACTGAGCAGAGAGATCCATGTTTGGGTCGCACATGTGAGGTCTGCAGTCCATTAGGTCACGTTTGCCAGGCCCCTCCCCACTCTGCTCTGATGTTTTCCTCCATCTGTAGTCTGGAGTTGGTAAAAAAAAAAAAAAACGCAGTCTGCTCCTGAAGTCCATCCCTTCTCCTATGTTTTTGTAAGGAACATGTGTTCGGAACGTTCCTGCCCACCGCCTACCACATTGTGCTCCAGTCGGGCCTTCATTAAGATGAGCTAAAATGTTACAGGGGATGCTGTTTGCCAAATAAAACTCCCTTGACTTCAGAGGAATAAAAGCTGTTGCAGTAGTGACTTGTTTTTAACTGGATTGTAGAGAAAATGTTAAAGACCCCATGAAATCAAAATGAGAGTTTTGTGGCTTTTAGTCTTCAATGCCATCTGTATGCTAGTGTGCTCCTTAATGTTGACTAAATTAAGCAGAATAAAAAGCTGAATTTTCAGCATCATCACTCCAGTCTTCAGTGTCACATGATCCTTCAAAAATCATTCTGATATGCTGATTTGGTGCTTATGAAACATTGCTGCTTAATATTTTTATGGAAACCCTGATACATTTTTCCATAATTCTTTGATAAACTTCAAAAGAACAGCATTTTTTTGGAATAGAAATCTTTTCTAACATCATAAATGTGTTTACTCTCACTTTTGATCAATTTAATGCATCCTTGTTTAAAAAAAGTATACTTTTTCTTTTTTTTTTAAGGACTCAAACTTCTGTAGTGTACATTTTAAAATGTATAGACTTTCTCTTTCAGGAAAAACAGACCAAAAATATTGATGACTCCTGCACTAGACTAGCATCTTTCTTGCAAATCATGGCTCATGGCTGTGATGTAACTGAAGTATTTTAGTTTTTTAAGGGACAAACCCTGCTTCTAGATTCAGTAGGAAATATATCAACACAGGAATTGAACACTGCACTCGTAAAGCGACTTCATGGAGTCCTAAAAGTCGTGAAGTGGTATTTGCAAATAATTTTACTTCCTTAATGTGAAATATTTCCAAGTGAATGGAATATTTAACAAGAAAAATGTGTAGTATGGGACTTTGGGATTGTATCCATCGGAAATTGATTGAATCGTGAGGTATTCCAATAGAACCATATGGTTGGAGGGATAAGAGGACTTGGAATCTTTGACCAAAAAGGACAGTTGTTTCAAAGGTTATCATATTTTGACACTTTTTCTTAGAATAATGTGCACCAATGAATCCTGCACATTAAGGTCAAGAAAATTTACAAAAATAAGCAGGACTGTTTTTTAAAACTGACTTTAAGTGCAGATGATTGAATTGTATTGATTGGATAACAATCTTGCCTTTCATTAGTTTGTTTTTTAATTGTTTTATTATGACATTTGAAAATCTAGATGTGCTAGTTCCATTCCCATCACCAACATTCAATACCAAAATAGGCACTTTCGTTTAGAAAGAAAAAGGGATTGCTCCATCCTTTCCTGTTTTCTATAAAATGGAAGGAAGGTTACTGGAAATGTTGGTGAGTGAGTCACGGTGCACCATGTGCTGTGTGTACAGAGTCCAGAGCTACCATGATCTGACAGGCAGGAGAAGCGGGAACGAGCACGTGGCCTGAACGCCACATCTGCGCCTCATCAGCAGGCCTGCCTGCCCCTCTGGCGCTTTCCACGGCTGCGGTGTAGGATGACAAGAGCGCCAGACTCTCATTATTACCATCAGAAAAAAGGGAAGTCACGTTATGTAACTCTGACTGTCCTCTTTCAGTTTCCCAGATTTGATAGAACATGAAAGTCCTGATGGTCTTGGAATTTAAGTTTGGTTTCGGAATGATATGGTGTGTTTTCACAGAACTAGATTGCAAAGAACAAAGCTTTTTGGAGTGTGTCCTGTTTGGATAGGTAGAGGTGTGTGGCCACTCTGTTCCTGCAAACCTGTCTGAGCTTGCTGAAAGAGCTGCGCTACTTAGATGACTTGTATTTCTTAATAAGCTCAAGCCCTATTCAGATGAGTCTATACTCCTTAAAGTTGTTCACAGATGTACTTTTTCATTTGAATCTTGTCCAAATCGAATGTTTTTCTCACATAAGCATGGTAAAAATATGACGTGTCAAATTAGCTACAGTTTTTAGGGATCTTCTGAGAAATTAAGTTCCGTTTTGAATTGTACCGTCTGTGGTTTGCGGTATATTATTTCTCCACATCACTTCCCCCAATTTATTTAGACTTTTTGTTGAATTATGCAACTAAATGTCCTGTTGCGCTGCCTGGTACAGTTGTCAACTTTCTGGGTAAAGTAATACTTTTGGCAGCCTACCCTCCTGAAAAATCCAGCATTGCTGAGGCCTGTTGCATGAAGCTGGTTGAACAAACTCCTAGTTTCAGAGTTGGTTTAGAGTTGACAAAACCACAATTCCAACCTGGTTTAGATCAGGTTCAGCGTGCTCACAACGCTCGGTATAAACGTTCTCTGTCAACTCAGGGTTTGATCCTAAGTTTGTGTTTAAAGTGTGACACATGCAGGAAACATGGAACATGAGAGCGCCAGTTTCACTTCTTGTAAGAGAGCCGGTGCAATTCACTTCTCTATTGAATATTAAGAGATAGTTATGAAAAATGTCATCAATTTAAATGCATTTACAAGGCAGTAATAAACACTGTTGCTGGAGAACGTTTGAGAAGGTAGCTGAAAGAAAATATCAATGTAACCTTAATCAGTTTAAAAGATTTACATATATAGGATTTTATTTAAATGTAAAGTTTAATATTAATAGTCAATTCATATAATAATTAAATTCATATATGAATTATACAGAATTATAATTCATATAATATGTAAATGATACATAATTAGCAGCAAAATTTTGTCTCTAAAATATTTTCACTGTAAATTTGGGTGCAAGATAAACAGGTGGAGTGGCTTTATTGCATCAGATATATGTCACTTTCCTCACAGTTTTTCTTCAGTTTTGGCGATGAACACAGCTAAAAACCAATCCACCATATTGAACCGGAAAAAAACAGAG